TCTCATTCTCCATCCTCAGCCCTGAAGATGCCTTGAAAACCAGAACTGCAAGCAGAGTAGCTATGAAAACAATCAGCCTGTCGGCCACTGAGAGAGACAAACCATGTTTTGAATTTTTAAAGACCCCCACTCACAGAAAAGTACCACTAACTATCTGTAATTGTGTTTCCCCAAAATATATATTTAAAACTAAGTTACAGTACCTGTGAATCATCTTATTTGGAAATATTATCTTTACAAATTAAATTAAACTAAAATGAAGTAAAATGAATTTGGGTGAATCTTAAATCCAATGTCTGGTGTCCTTATAAGAAGAAAGGAATTTGGACACAAAGTCAAAGAAGAGACACACACAGAGGTAAGAAGGGCACATGACAATAGAGGTAGAAATTGGAGTGATATAGCTGCAAGCCAAGAAACACCAAAGATCATGCCAACTACCAGATGCTAGAAAGAGGCAATGAATGATTCTTTCCTAGAGATTTCAGAGGGATCAAGGCCCTGCTAACACTTTGATATCAGACTTCTGACCTCTAGATCTGTGAGAGAATAAATTTCTCCTGTTTTAAGCTACCCAGTTTGTGGTAATAACTTACAGTAGCCATAGGAATCTAATTACAGGTGTTGATGCCAGTGTGGCAAACCAGAGATTGAACAAAAAACTAATAAGGAAGATTTGGGGAAAGATGTCCATAGAGGGCTTTGCAAAGCTCCAGTACATTCTTGGAAATCTAGGAAGGCAAATGCATGAATAATGTAGGGCTGTGCACCTGCCCAGGAAAGATTAAAAAAGACCCTTATTTCTCCAACTCTGAGAGAAATGCTGAGGCCCTGCCAAAGCAAAAAGTGAAGCCTAAGAAAGAATTTTTAGCTATCTGGTCATTGGAGTCCTCCTACAACACACACAGAGCCCCTCCACAAAGGGTGGGAGATTTATTGATCCAATCATTTAAATAACTTTCTTTTTAATCACTAGCTGACCATTAAGCTAACTGAGCAGAGAAGTTAGTTCAGTGGTTTACACTTGACAGGGACTTAATCAAGAAAAGTAACCAAACAAACAGGAGCAACAACAAACTATGGTGTGGCTATTGGGGGATGGATTTACAGAACTACCATATTATGTTATTTAAAACATCTGACTTTCAACAAAATGCATGACCTATACAAAGAAACAGGAAAGCAGTCACATGAAAGAAGCTGAAAAGTACCAAGAGGAAAACAAGTAAAAATGTACAAAGGACCCTCAATAAAATGAACTAACTTTTTTTTTCTTTATTGATTAAGGTATTACATATGTGTTCTTATCCCTCCATTGCCCTCCCAACCCCCAATCATACCCTCACACCCCTGGTGTCTGTGTCCATTGGTTAGGCTTATATGCATGCATACAAGTCCTTTGGTTGATCTCTTCCCCTTACACACACACCCCACCCCCCACCTTCCCTCCGAGGTTTGATGGTCTGATGGATGCTTCTCTGTCTCTGGATCTGTTTTTGTTCATTAGGTTATGTTGTTCATTATATTCCACAAATGAGTGAAATCATGTGATATTTATCTTTCTCTGACTGACTTACTTCACTTAGCATAATGCTCTCCAAAAATAAATTAACTTTTATCAAAAACTATGGAGCCCAGAAGGCAGTGTGATGACTTAAGCAAAGCATTAAAAAGAAAATATCAACTAAAAATTCTATGTCCACCAAAACTATCCTTCAAAAATAAAGAAGAAATTAAAGCATTCTCAAATAAACAAAATTTGAGAAAATTTGTTGTCAGCAGATGTTTCCTATAAGAAAACACAAAGGAAGTCCTTCAGAATGATAATAAATGATATCAGCCAGTAGCAAAACCACACAAAGATATAATGAGCACTGGTAAAGGTGACTAAATAGGTAAATATCAAAGACAGTATAAATGTATTTTTTTCTTTATAACTTTTTATTCTTCTATATGATTTTAAAAGAACTGCATAATAAAGCAATTATCATAAAACTGTGATGATGGGCTTATAGAATATCAAGATGTAATTCTTTTGACAATAATAACACAAAGAACCCTTACTTAAACTGACCCCATCCCTAAGAGAGGATGTAGCAGCTATGTTGGAGCAAAATTGTGGTATACTGTTAAGATTAGTTGGTATTTCTCCTAATTATGCAGTCTTTAAATTAAGATGTTAATTGTAATCTCCATGGGAGCCAATTATAAAAAAAAACTTATGAAAGCAAAAGAAACAATAAGAAAATTAAAATGGAATTCTATCAACTATTTATTTAATACAGAAGAAAACAGTAATGGAGGAACAAAAAGGAAATGAGATATGTAGAAAGCGAATAGGAAATAGTAGATTTAACCTAACTTAACAGTAAGTACATTAATGACAAATGTATTTCACATCCATTCAGTAGGCAGAGATTGGAGAATGGATTAAAGAAAATAGTCTGACTATATACTGTCTACAGAAGACACTTTAGATTCAAAGACACAAATAGTTGAAAGATATCAACTGCAGAAAGATTGATGCATAAAGGTATACCAAGCAAAAAGCAACCATAAGACAGCTGAAGTTGCTCTACCAATATCATGCAAAATAGACTTTAAAACAAAAAATGTAACTAGAGATAAAGAGGAACAATTTATAATGATAAAAGAGGCCATATATCAGGAGATATAATAATTATAAGCATATATGCACTTAACAACAGCGC